ATTTATTTCATTAGTTTTAGGACAGTTCAATTGTTTCATTTGAACTAGTAGCTAAAGATGATTATCTTTCTCAATATGTAATTTGACAGTGACTTTGCTTCCTGAATTGGTTAGTTAGGAAAGGCTATTCTACTTTCTATACTCACAGTGTGAATTTTTTTCTCATTTTTCTGTTGAATTATATTCTTTTTTATGGATGGTATTTAGGGGTTTTTTCCTTTTTCTCATTAACGTCAAAGTATATAACTTTTAAGTTGCCAAGGAATTACTTCCAAAATATTTGTAAGTACTTCCCAACATTTAAAAAATGTATTAAGTTGCACAATTTATTAATTATGTTAATTGAGATCAAGGCTGGAACATGGAAAAATAAACCATCTAGAGCTAGTAAAATAAAATCAATATTTCAGACATGACTAAAGTATGAAGTCAGGTCATGTTCCAGTGCAAGACAAGACCATTTTAAGATAGTGTCCCCAGGGACCTAAACTACTCCTTGAAAATGAGTCTTAAAAGGATTTTACATAAGTAAATGACCTAAGAATCTACTATCTTAAGAGGGGCATTTCCTTTTAAAAGGGATAAGGCTAGGCATTTTATTTATTTGCATCCTCTTTAAAGACCAGGTTTCAGTTGTGAGTTAATTACCCTCCATCCTATATCGTTGGATAAATGGAACAGTGTGGTACTATCCAATTTTGTTTGATTGATTATAAAGTTTTCCAGAATCTTCGTAAGTATATTTACTTCACCACCAGAGCTTAGCATTTAGAGATCAACATCCTACCTTCAGTAGTTTCTACTTGTAAAAAGAAAAAATAAGAATCTTCATCCATATATTTGTCTTACCCACCATTCAGTTATCTTAAAAGAACCACCAGAGAAATTTCAAAGCAACTGTACCTTCAAATAAAATGTTATAAGGAAGAAAAGCATGTATGTGCAAAGGCTTATTTAAACACATTTAAGAAATTCTTCCATATGCCCTAATTATCAATGGCAATGTCATATTTTAGAACACAATGTTTTCATCTTCAGTGTGTATATAATTTAAATGTAATTAAATGTATCTTCAGCTTTTTCTTATAATACCAGATTTTAAATAGAGGAATGTACACATTTCACCAATAACTAATTAGTGTTTTGTTCTCACTACTGGGAAAAAAATACATTGAAAAGCTTATGCTCATAACTTGAAAGAAATATTTAATGGTTTTATCCCAACTCATAATCCATGCTATGATGGCATTGGCTTAATGAAGGAAATTCCTTAGTAGTGTTGCATTAAATTATTTTCAGAAAGAGAACTATTATGTAATTCTAAATGATGATATCCAAAATATACTAAATATTACATATCCTGTTTTCTGATTTTACAAATAGAGGAAAGAACTCATTAATGATTTAGGAATCATTCTTTCACACATTCAAATTACATTTCTTGACAGATTATTTCTATTTTAGGGGAGACTTAAATGTAAGTTGATATTATTTTGATATTTCTGCATTTAGTACAGTAGAATGCAATTCTAATGCTTTTGGAAGACAAGATGATTGTATGATTTTTGTATTACAGGTATGTTTTTGTGATATATGGATACCAGGATACTTAATTTGACTTTCAGTATAAGTCAAAATAAGCATAAGTCCATTGTAAAGCTAAACATTTTCAATCTGCTGACATGTATGTTGGTGACTATGGTGGTAATGGCACTAGAGTTGTAACAGCAGATAGCAACAGTGATAGTGGTAGTAATAATGATAATAGAATTTAAAGCTCTTTCTTTTTTTTTTTTTTTTGAGACAGAGTCTCACTGTGTTGCCCAGGCTAGAGTGCCGTGGCTTCAGCCTAGCTCACAGCAACCTCAAACTCCTGGGCTTAAGCAATCCTTCTGCCTCAGCCTCCCAAGTAGCTGGGACTACAGGCATGCGCCACCATGCCCGGAAATTTTTTTTTTCTGTATATTTTTAGTTGTCCAATTAATTTCTTTCTATTTTTAGTAGAGACGGAGTCTCTCTCTTGCTCAGGCTGGTCTCGAACTCCTGAGCTCAAACAATCCGCCCACCTCGGCCTCCCAGAGTGCTAGGATTACAGGCATGAGCCACCGCGCCCAGCCAGCTCCTTCTTTCCAATCCACATAATATTCCTCTCCATGAGAGAAAGTGAAAGTAAAAAGTAGTGATCTTGAATTATTACATATTTCACAGACATTCAAAATCTAACTATTAAAAACTTTTGTGCTGCATAACAAAGGGCATAAAATAGAACTCTAGACAATAAAGGAACTTCTGTAGACTATCAAACGAGACTTAGGTAGTTTATACCTTATTAAAAACTCAACATTTACAGAGCTTAATGTGAGTGGCTATCTACCCAGGCACAAACCACATGTTCAGTCTCACTTTATATCAGGAGCTAAGCAGCCTTGAGTCCTGAATCTTGTATTAAGATGTCCTCATGAGTTTTGTAACACATTTATGCCACTCCATGTGAGATGACTTTAAAAAAAAAAAGGCTAAATAAGTTAAACTAATGCCCCATTCCTATTATAGGATACAGAAGTCAAAAGTTAAGTGGAGAAAACATTGTGTCCTTATACATACGAAGGCCCCAAACCAAGAGTGTTGGCTCCATGAGTAGAGCGTTGTCCTGAACAGTCAGCTAGAAAGTGCATCTCCAGAATCTTTTTGAAGATTTTTTTCCAAACCAAAGTCATCTACCTAGAAAGAACTAAAGTGAAAGGTTGTCTATTAACCTCTCTTAAGGCTTTTATACTTGTATATAGCATGTAGCGTTTTTTCTAGTCCAGCAAAGATAGATAAATGTATTAGAATGTTAGTAGATGGCACTTCTAGAACTACTTGTAATGAATTGCATAAAAATTTAGATATACTGTTTTATTTAATATACCCAAAATATATTGATAATATTAAGATATACAGAAGTATGCTTTTACTTTAGGAGATTAAGCTTCACAAATTACACTTCCTCAGGTTTACATAAATGTCAAGCTTTCGAGAGAGAACGGGAGTCTTAGCAGAAGTTTACTCTTCCATTAGCATCATATGTGCCTTTTCTTTGTAAATATTTACTTTGGATTTTTTTTAAACTTTGAAACAGTAGTTATGTAAGTTCAGTTTCCATTCTGATCGTGGCATTCTGTTCTGGAAAAATATTTTTCAGAACATATTCACCTAGAAATGTGTTCATGTGTGATGGCCTAAAATATTTTATACCCTATATTCTAGTCACCTTGCAAACATAAGTGAGAAAATTGTGAAAGCTGAAATGATTGGGCACTCCTGCAGAAAGAAAGAATGCTAAACACATTCAGGAAATAAAAAAGACTTAACTGCTGCTTTTCATTCTACATTAACATTTCTTCAGAGTCATTGATACTACTAAATCAATATCTGGAAACCTACAGTATCTTTTAAACATAGTTTCAAATGTAGACTATTAAATCAAGTCTCTTAAGGTGTCCATCCTCATAATTTCTATGACAGCTCAGTCTTGTTTGACATTTAAGACCCCTTCCAAACTAGTATTATAGTTTTATTTTTGAAATAACTATTCTACTTAACATAAATGATTTCATGTGATTAAACTTCAGCAAAATATCTTCAAATCTATAAGTCTTGAAAATATCTTCAAATCTGTGTCTGTTATAACATAAAATTACTTTTATATTCACTACCACATCTTTCCTGCATTTCTCTGTCTCTGTGTTTCACTGCATTATTATTATGTTTCTTGTTTTTTTTTTTTTTAACTTCATAATCACTGCTCACTTCTAAGTTGACTTCCAGTGAACCAGCCCCTCCTCCCATACACCGAGTGTCACCTGGCTCAGGAACAGGAGCTCTCCAGGGAATTGCCCAGGGCTGGCTGTCCCTGACAGCTGTACACCCACCAGCAAACCGTTTGGCCCCAACACCATCTCTTTTTCTGGACAACTTCTTGGATGAATTGGAAAAGCTTAGTGCTTTAACCTTATTGGCTGACGAAGCCAAACCAAATATCCTAGAGGAGACTGTCCTCGAAATTAAGGAAGAGCCCTCTCTCCTCCTCCCACTGCCGCCAGCATCTGTACCTGCAGAGTCGCCTCAATCTCTGTTACCTGTGCCCCGCTTGGCTGCAGCCCAGTCTGACGCTGCAAAGCCACTTCAGGACCCCAGAAAGACAACTCAAAACAAATGTGCAGATTTGAAAAAAATGCAAAGGAGCTTTTCAGACCCTAAAAAGGTGCCTGAAGTCCTAGGCGATAAGTTTGTGGCCTCTACATGCACCGGTGTGGGTTCTCTGCCCATACCCCTCCCTGCCATTGGAGAGG